CGGGAATCGACCCACCTCTTTCTTCCATGAAAATAGATTCAGGAACACAACAGCGAAAAGGCATATTTAATCCAGAAATGAAGGACAGAAACGGTTGTTAGCAGAGTATTACAGAGGAAGAGTCAACAGCCAACACGAGTCTCCTCTAACTGAGATCTCTCTCCGACACTCCACCTACTGAATTCAAACTGCCCGCTTAGCCCCACATCACCACTAGGGGATTGTTATGACTAATCTCGTCGCCATTGTGGTGACGTCAGAGCCTGGTTGTACGGCTTTCAAATACAGGGGGCAGTGGTTCTACCCACCGCCGGCCAGTTGGCCCCACCCCCAAGCCCCAACACCCGCAGCCACCCATCTACCTTCTCTATTGAGAGAGAGGAGGGAGAGGAGTGGCCGCAGGCCACGCGCCATGTCTCTGCTGGGAGATCGGGCGGGCAGGAGCTCTCTTTAAGTGCAGGGATCGGGCGTGCGAAAATTTCCAGCTCCCTGCACCTAAAGGAGCCCCTTTAAGTGCAGGGAGCTGGTGTTTCCCCATGCTCCCATGGGGCAGGCGGGGGGAGCGGATGTCCCCAATGTGATATCATCACGTCGGGGATGCCCCACCCCTTCCAGGAACACCCCCCCCAAAGTCCCCCGCTGGAGTCGAAGATGGACTTGGCAACCCTACTCATCGCCCTCCTCTGCACCCTCTTGATTTTGTCCACATCCTTTGTGAAGTGAGACCTCCAGAACTGCACACAATACTCAAGGTGCAGCCTGACCAAGGCAGTATACAGAAGGGCTATGGCCTCCTGCGATTTCGATGCTATGGCCCTTTAATACAACCCAAGACTGAATTTGCCTTTTTTGCCACAGCATCACACTGACTGCTCATATTTAGTTTACAGTCCACTCTTACCCCAAGATCTCTTTCGCGTACACTACTCCCCAGAAACATATCCCCCATCCAGTAATTGTGCTTGACCTTTTTATGACCCAAATGTAATACTGTGCATTTATCTTTGTTGAATTGCATCCTGTTCGCAACTGACCACTTCTCTGGAGTATTCAGGTCTTGTTGAATTTTAACTATCTTCTTGGGTGTTTGCTACTCCTCCCAATTTGGTATCATCAGCGAATTTAATGAGCAGCCCTTCTACCCCTTCATCCAGATCATTGATAAAAATACTGAAAAGTACTGGGCCCAAAACTGAGCCCTGCGGTACCCCACTGGACACCTCCCTCCAATCTGATGAAACGCCATTGACCACCACTCTTTGGGAGCGGTCCTCTAACCAATTTCCTATCCACCTATAGTCCAGCCCAGTCTTCCAGTTTGCCCATCAGAATGTCATGGGGAACCTTATCAAAAGCTTTACTGAAATCTAGGTAAATCACATCAATAGAGTTCCCGCGATCTAGTAAGCTCATCACATGATCAAAGAAGGAAACCAGGTTGGTCTGACAAGATCTGTTGGGGACAACACCATGTTGACTTCCTTGAATCACTAAGTGGTCCTTCAGATGCTTATAGAGCAATCCCTTTAAAATCTGCAAGCTAAATTACTTTACTTAGCAATACTTCCTATTGAGCTCAATGGCATTTGCTATCTAGTACGTTTAGAACGGCCACTAAAATCTACAATCTGACAAAGCATGTAGCTTCATTCATTCATGAGCCCTGAAGGGCTTTACTGCCAACCAACATCTTCTAGTGCTCCCCAGCCCAAGGGATGCCCGTCTTACCTCAACTAGGGCCAAAACCTTTTCAGCCCTGGCCCCTACCTGGTGGAATGAGCTCCCATATGAGATCAGGGCCCTGTGGGACCTTTTACAGTTCCCCAGGGCCTGCAAGATGGAGCTCTTTCACCAGGCTTTGTTAGGGTGGTGGGCCTCCCTCTCAGCAGGTCAGATCTGTATTACCATCTAGGGAGTGGGACCCAAACTCAAAATAGACTGTATCTGTGAGGCTTTGACCAGAATCTGTATCATAGGAATATTGTTGTATTTTATTAAGGTTTTGCTTTTAATTCTTTGTATATTGGTTACTGTATCTAATGGAACCCACTCTGAGCCTGCTATGTAGGGAGGGCAGGATACAAATCCAATAAAATAAATAAAAGCATACAGTAAGGTTTTATTTCCATACAAGTGCAAATAAGATCTGGCTACACGTGCTAACTCTTAGCAAAACTTGAACTCCCCGGTCATCACCTAGGGTTGCCAGCTCTGGATTGGGAAATACCTGGAGATTTGGGTGGCCCTTAGGGAGGGCAGGATTTGGGGAGGGACGTCAGCAGGGTATAATGCCATAGAGTCCACCCTCCAAAGCAGTCATTTTCTCAGGGTGAGCTGCTCTTGATGGTCTGGAAATCAATTATGGTCGCAGGTCTCCAGGTACCACCTGGAGGTTGGCAACCTGGGTTTAGTGGATTCATATTTTTTTTTCTTGATTAGCTAGGAATTTCACACAATTATATTTCATCCCATATTTCCCGCAACTGTAATTTCTCTGCTGTCTGGTTTTCAAACGTCCCATCACTCGTGAGTTTGCTCCAGGAGAATTTACACTGGAATTAAAAAATGCAGTTAGTCTTTAAGGTGCCACCACTAGACTCCAGTTTAATATTTCCCACATTACTAATTTCTCTTTCCTTAACTTGTACCTATATACTAAACAACTTTTTCGACCAGAGTCATATCCTTTTAAAGGCTTCTGAACGCCGCCTGTTTGGTAAAGACGCCGCATAAGGCACTTTCTCTCTTCCTCGTACAAGACCGAGGGGGTTAAGGAAAGCGTGGCTGCGCGCGCACCTCAGAGCATACTCCGGCACGCATGCGTGGAACCGGAGCAGGCCGTTACACACAAGGCTTGAGAAGGAGGGGGGGATGCCTTTTACCTTTCCAACGCCTGCACCGTATAGCTAATAAGCGGTCTTCCCAGAATCGGGCAAAACTGCTTCGGAGTGCCGCCGCCCATACGCTCCCCTGTTCCTCCGGCAGGCAACACCGCTGACACTAATACCGGCAGCCGCTCCTCCGCAGCCTTAGCACTGAAGCGGCCACCGCTAGACTTCTCGAGGCAGCTCTCCGGCTCCATTGTGGCAACCTAAACTACAATTCCCGTCGCGTTGTACCCCTTCCCCTTCGATTCAGTTCAAGCGGAAATGCTTGCTTTCGCGTGCGCCGCCGCCCCGAATATCTAAAGAGCCCCCGACCGCTTCACTTTTGACCCCAAGTACGTCTGTGAACCATTACTCGGGGGGGGGGGGGAGACCTCGCGCGCGTTCTGTCTTCCAATCTCCATTGGTCCATGCCTTTCGTCCCGACCCAATCATGCTTCAGCACAACAAACTGCGATCCTCGCACCTGTTCCCATCCCCGTAGTTTTAAAAAAAGAAGAATCGGCCCTTTAAATAGTCCTGTCGGGGTCTGAAGGGGAAAGGTTCCTGTTGCGCATGTACTTGGTTTTATTGTTGCTGGGCTGATGGAAGGAGCCGTGGCTTTTGGCTAGTCTGAAAAACGTGAGGAGCAGAATTAATAACAAAAGCTGTCAAGCCACACAGAAAGCACATATAACGCTGTCTTGCTACTGACAGGCCATTGTGGCGTTTAGCTGAAGTAGTAGTTCCCCCAGTAAACTCAGTTTTTGTTGTACTTTAAAGACTTAACAAAATTTTATTCCACTTGAATCTTTTATGGACTCCAGAAGAACACTTTTTCAGTAGCAAAGAGTGAATCCTCATTTTACATTCATTTTATTTTGGGACGGGGAGGACCAGCAGAGTTAAGAATGCCACAGCTTGGTTATTATCTGGAGCTAGGCAGAGTGTGTATATTACTCCCATTTTGCAATTGCTTCATTGGCTGCCTCAGTTACCAGGCTCACTTATAATAGCCTTGATCCCACATATATGCAGTACCACCTCTCTCCATGAAGTCTGCTATGATAACTTCACTCATCAGAGCAGAGCCTTCTTGAAGGTACCACCCTACAGGCAAAATCAAGAACTACCTGTATACATACATTTTCTGTTATTGCCCCTACCTTACGGAATGAGCCACTGCAGTGAATGAGCTCCCACTCTCCTGTCTTTCCACAAACTTGGCAAAACTGAATTATTCAGGAGGGCTTTTTTACACAGGTAATAAGGCTGTAGTGCAGTCAGATAGTTCAGGAAGATGCTTTGGTAAAGTGATAGGGACTGTGGACTGTCTGTTGCTGTAAGTATGCTTCTACTGTGTAATTTCTGCATTGTTTAGCATGTAATGTTTAAATGCTTGTGCTTTGTTTCAGCTCTGTTTCAGTCTTCTACAGTCTAAACCATATTGCACTGTTTAATGGATGCCCCATCCTTTTGATTGTATATGACTTGCACTATGTAATGCGCCTTGAGTCTCTGAGAAAAGTGGACTATAAATAACGAGTAAATATAATGCAATTTCTGTAAAATTCAGATCAAAGACAGGGGGTGTTGGGTACATCAAAGGGTGGCCCAAAAACAGAGCTGGAAAAGAAAGGATGTTCTTTACCTTTCTAGCACCCATGCTGTGTAGTAATTGGCCTCCTTAAAATGATGCAAGCCTGTTTTGGACTGTGGAACTGCCCCTGTGCTCCCCACTAGTCACAAGATTTTTAGGCTGCATTCACACAAACTAAATAATACACTTTCAATCCATTTTCGAATTGGATTTTGCCAGTTCACACAGCAAAATCCAGTTGGAAAGTGCATTGAAAGTGGATTATTTATTGTGAGTGATTGCAGCCTCATTGTAACAAAATGATAGTGAGTTAGGAACCCTAAATCTTGGTTCAGTCCTAATGGGGGCATAGTAGTTTGGCTCATTACCTTGGAAGGTAAAGGTTTTTCCCAAACCTGCTGAGATCCTGCTAGCAGGGTGGATATATGTGTTTTCATGAAACCTAGATTTCATTCATTCTGAAGGAATTCCAGTGTGGTAGCCAGTGCAGTCTGTTGCACAAAAAGCAAAAGAATACTTGTGCATCCAAAGACTAGCAGATGTATTTTGGCACAAGCTTTAAGAACATAAGAGATGCCAATGTTGGATCAAGCCAAAGGCCCATCCAGTCCAACACTCTGTCACACAGTGGCCAAAAATACCAGATGCCATCAGGAGGTCCAGCAGTGGGGCCAGGACGTTAGAAACCCTCCCACTGTTGACCCCCCCCCAAGCACCAAGAAGACAGAGCATCACTTGCCCCAGAGCCCCTATCTATACCTTGTGGCTAATAGCCACTGATGGACCTCTGCTCCATATGCTTATCTAATTCCCTTTTGTAGGGTTGAATCCAGTTTGTCAGATATGTTTGTGACATTTATATGTAAAACTCATAAACATACCTATCGTTCACAAAAGTTCTGATAAATAATTTAAAAGTTATTTAACACCTATGGAGACATTAAAAAAACTTGTCAGACATCTTAAATTCCTGGTGAATATTTTCAGACCTGCTAATTAATTCTACTTTTAAACCAGGTCATTTTGAAAACAGAAAATTATAATAAAGTTTGAGACTCAACAATAAAACCATTACATTTAATATATGTCTAATATTAATAGGTAGGCTTAAAGTAGGGCTGCTAGCCCCCCAATGGGGGCAGGGAATCCCCCCATCGATCAGCTGGCAGGGGAGGACTAGGCTGGCAACACAGTGACATCACTTCCAGCGCACACCATAAGTAATATGCGCACACCATAAGTAACACCATAAGACATAACAATGTCACTGTGTTGCCAGTTTAGGCCTCACCCCAGTGCTGCCAGTAAGCCCCCCACCCACAGGTTGCCAGGAGGAACTCGACAATCCTAATAGAATCAATTGTTTCCTGAAATCATTGCATGGAACTCCAAACGATTGTTCAAAATCCAGTAGTGAAATTCCTACAGTTTGGGGGACTCGCACCTTTGCAGTTACAGGAAGCAAGAAGTATAGAAGACTCATGTTCTGCTTTAACCTTACCTTCCCTCTGACCCCCAGCTGATTTGGGATCAACAATTCCAAGTGTTGCCATTGCTACTGCCTTGTCCCTCCCCCAATCTTCCAGCAAGTGCCCTGTCCTCCTCCCTCCCATCAGGATCTCATTTTTAATGCCAACCATGATCTTGGTCAGCATTTCTTTCTTGAAGTTATAAATATTGAGGTTCACTGGTGTAGTCCAGTCACCATTAGTTAGCAGGGTGGTGCAGCGGAAGCATGCTGGGCCGATAACCTACTGAGGTTATCTGGTGTGGTTAGTCCAGTCACCATTAGGTAGCAGAGTGCTTAAATAAAGCTACAAACTCAGGAGTGTCACATTACCAGGTTACTCAGCTTATGTTGCAAGTTTAGAAGAGAAATACTACTCTCTTTATTTAAAAAGTACACTTTGGATAGGAAAGAGCAGAGATTTGAAACATTACTGACTTACTAGCTATGGAGCTGCGGTGGCTCAAGTGGTTAAGACGCTGAACTGCAGGCTGTGGAAGGTCAGTAGTTCAGCAGTTCAAGACCCGGGTGCCGCATGATGGAGTGAGCTCCCATCTCTAGTTCCAGCTCCTGCCAACCTAGCAGTTCGAAAGCAAGAAATTGTAAGTAGATAAATAGGTACCACTTCAGTGGGAAGGTAACAGCATTCCGTGCACCTTGGTGTTTACTCATGCCGGCCACATGACCACGGAAACGTCTTCGGACAGCGCGGGCTCTTTGGCTTTGAAACAGAGATGAGCACCGCAATCCTAGAGTTGGACTCAACTGGCTTTCGAGCAAGGGAACCTTTACCTTTACCTAACTTACTAGCTAAAGGATGAAAGCAGATGGCCAGAGGCCCATCTGCCTCATGGTGCTAAGAGAGGACTGCATGTCTGTCTCTTGGTGCATGCAGGAAGAGAGCTTGTCTTCATCTGAGTGAGAAAAAGGAAGGGGAAATGGTCCCTGAGAACACAATCTGCATTTCAAAGGGGACAGTAGCAGAAGAGTAAAAACAGGAAGAAAGGTCAGTGTGCCTTTCTAGCTATCTAGTATCTCTTGCCACTCAGTCTGGAGTTCTGAGACAGGGGACATCACATCTGGGTGGGGGTTAAAACGAAATCCTCCCCCATCTGCATTTTGGGGGCATTGTTCAGGATTAGATATATGATAATAGGGGTAACCCTGCTTGTGATCAACACAGCAAAAAACTAACCTCTAACCCTAACCTAACTTCCTCCCTTACCTGCAGGACTGCCTCTCCCCATATGTGCCCCAAAGAGCCTTGTGCTCTCTAGACCAGCACCGTTTGGTTGTCCCCAGCCCAAAAGACATCTGCCTTGCCTCAACCAGGGCCAGGGCCTTCTCAGCCTTGGCCCCAGCTTGGTGGAACATGCTCACGACTGAGATCAGGGCCCTGTAAGATTTATTGCAATTCCACAGGGCTTGTCAAATGGAGTTGTTCAGCCAGGCTTTTGGTGGACATCAAGTAACATCAGCCTCCCCTGCCTCAAGTGCTTCAAGCACTCCATAGTGTAATTTAGATCATCAGTGCTAGGAGCAGTGGACTTATTCCACAATAGGATCTGCCGCCCCTCCTGGCATAAGCATAGCATACTGGAATGGAAATTAATTACCAAGCTGCTAATTGATATTTAAATGATTCATTTAAATTTTAACCTGGTTAAAGTTATTTTATTGATTCATTTAAATTTTAACCTGGTTAAAGTTATTTTATTGGTGTAATATTTTTATGAATTGTGTTCTATGAGTTGATGTGAGCCACCCTGAGTCCGCTTGCAGGGTAGGGTAGGGTGAAAATCACAAAATAAATAGAATAAATAATTTGATTATTGATCTTAAAAGCTCTGTTTAATTCAATATTGGAGCCAATGTAGAAATGGGGTCGCGAAGAGTCGGACTTGACTGTGCGACTGAACAACAACAAAAAAGAAAATAACTGGTTAAGAAATGAATTCATCCACCACCGATTAATAACATAAAATTTTAAATATAAAGAAGCGATGACAAAAACCCGCCCACCCAGCGGTTCAAAAGCCCGTTAAAGGGCGAGTAGATGAATGGGAACCTACCCTTAGTAGGGTAGGGGCACCCCCCTCGTCCGAGGAGTGTGGTGTGCGGCGGTGGCAGCAGCGAAGGAACAACAACAATGACGGCGGCGGTGACGGCGGATCCTGGCGGCAGAGACGAGGCG